TTCTCTTCTCTTCTCTTCTCTTCTCTTCTCTTCTCTTCTCTTCTCTTCTCTCTCCCCTCCTCTCCCCTCCCCTTCCCCTCTCTTCTCTCCTTTTTCCTTCCTTCCTTCCTTCCTTCCTTCCTTCCTTCCTTCCTTTCTTCCTTCCTTTCTTTATTTTGAGGCAGGGTTTCTCTGTATAACAAGCCCTGGCTGACCTTCACTACTCCTTTTTGTAGACCAGGCTGGCCTAGAACTCAGAGATCCGCCTAACTCTGTCTCCCAAGTGCTGGAATTAAAGTACTACCATGCCCAGCCTCTGTGGAATCTTAGCTGTTCCTAAATGTCTTGTTTATGGTTGTGTCCTCCAAGCGTGGACAGTTGTCACTTGTGGAACCTGCTGAGGGTAAGCATTGTCAAATATTGGAAACAGGATATTTGATGAAATGGTTGTCTGACATTTGGAAGAAAAGTCCATGTTACTTCATTTAGAAAGTAATAATCCCTGATTCTTTATCAATTCATTTAGAAATATTTCAGAGGTACTTTTAGGTACTATACCACCCAGAGGTTTATAGGAGGTTGTAGATAGATGAGTTAAGAATCAAATGTAGTCCTTGCCCTTTCATGAATATACCCAAGTTAATTGAATGTAGAATTGGATACTTAGGTTATCAGTCAGGCAAAACTAATCATGCACTTGAATTAGTCCACGAGGCAGAATGCTGTGGAGGATACATGGTGTTCTGAGCAGGTAGCCAGACCATAGCATTTGTTTTCTAAATGTAATCTAAGGTTATACTGGAATAATCAGCAGTTAGGTGCTAAGAGAAAAGATTATGAACAGAAGGAATAGTGTGTAGAAATGGCTGTGTGCCAAGAAAGAAGAGGAAGGCAATCATAGATATGAAGGTAGCAGTAGGAAACAAGCTGTGAACATTAGAGAGGACAGAAGTCATTCACGTGGCTCACTGGACTGTGCCTGAGGCTTCTGGAGCTCATTCACAGAGCGATGCAGATCATCCATAGTTATTCTGTAGAGAGAGAACTGTTGCAGAGGGCAAAAATGGATGCAGGTAGGTTGGTTAACTAGAGTACAGGCAAAGTGAGAAACAATGTAGGCTGGGCAGACTGATGGTAGCAAACATGGAAATGAATTGAGTATCAAAAATTGCATTTAAGAGAGAAAATCACAAGGACTGGATATAGGCTTTGCAAGGGGGAAGCCTGAGGTGTTGTTTAAAAAAACGATGTATTTTTAATTAAGTACATGTGTGTATGTCTGGGTGGGGGTTATATGCACATGAGTTCAGGTGGCTGAGGAGGCCAGATGAGACTACTGGATCCCTAGAGCTGTAGTTAACTACAGGCTGTCCTGAGTTGCCTGATGTAGGTGCTGGGACCTGAACTCGGGTCTTTTGCAAGAACACTTGGTGCAGTCTTAGCCAATTATCCACCTTACCAGCTCAGGATTGTTTGTTTATTTAACACGGTGCTGTCGTTACTAAAATAAGGAAGTCTTGAAGTCGTTTAGGGAAGGACAGTTGTGGTGCATGCCAGTAGGCAAATAGTGAAGATGAGCAGGAAGATTGCAAATTTGAGAATTGGGGAAGAAAATATGAATTATTTTAAGACATTGTAATATTAAACTTATGCCTGATAAGAATCTGAGATGAGCTATCATGATTTAAGAGTCTGCACAGAGCAGCAGATGAATGAGAGGCACAGGTGTGGCATAAAGTGGCCACTGCAGTTGAGTATTGCTGAGGTGCGGTCATGAGAGAACCGAGCGTGCGTGCTGAGTCAGCAGCAGAGCATCGCCTTAGACCTGCTTGTGTACAATGGTTAGTGAGGGGGCCAAATTATGGAAGGGATTAAAAGTGAGTGAAATGAGGAAATGAGTGAATGCATGTGTGTAATTCTTCCCAGGCATGGAAAAATTAGACCTGGAGGGCAACACAAAGTTGACTTTATTTATTGGTGTGAAATGTAGATTGTGTATGTGTCGTTTGAGTCTTGGCTCTTGCACACTTCCATGACCGTGGCTCCAGTTCCCAGATAGAACATTGTCATTGCCCAGAAGGATCCTCGTGTCTTGCCCAGGTCCTTCCTGGAGGCCCCACTGTGCTGACCTCCTTCCCTGACCTAAGCACAGGTGGATTCACGGGATGGACTCGGGGACTGGAAGCTTGCACAGGATCTGGGTTCAGTTCCAGAATTCATTCTCAGCCAGGACTGACCCATGCTGGAGGGGTTTTCTCCCACCCATCTTATTAATGAGCCATCAGTTACTCTTGTCAAAGAATCAGCTTTTGTTTTTACTTCACAATCTGTCTTCTGATTCCCTGACAGTTCCCTTTCACTTCTGCTTTCTTGTTTGGGTTTTAATTTGCTCTTTTGTCTCTAGCTGAAGTTGAACCTTAGACCATTGATTTTAAATTCTGTTTTCTAGAGCATTTAAAGCTACATTTGCTTTTAAAATGATATTCTACATATGTCTGACAATTTCT